AAGCCTGGGTCTGCATTACATGAGGTTGGTCTGCTGCACATTCAGTTTCAGGAGACGTCGAGTCGTCTCATTGGGCGGACTATGGGCGCCCGCCGAGCTCCCAATGACGTCTTGCCAGGCTCCGACATCGGACGCAGTAGCAGCCATACAGGTTATTCGTTGGCGAATGAGCACCTCGCCGTCCAAAGTTTCCAGGCAAGCCAACAATAAATATGAATCATACAGATTCAGTTTCTGTATGGATCAGTCCGGGCCCTCAGGCATCCGAGAACAGGGCCTGAAGAGCAGTCCTTGAATGCCTGAGGACTTCCACCATGCAGAGGCTTCTTGGATTCATAGGGTGTAGGGTTCCAGGATAAAGACGGGGTTAGAGCTAGACCCAAGCTTTAAGAACACAAATTCCCCGTCCCCAGGCCCCCGACCCTCCAACACCCGAGTCCCACGGCCCAACCCGACAAGCCGAGAAAGCCTAAAGCCCTGCACCCTAAACCCTCAAGCCTAAAAGCCCTCATCCCACTAAGAACCCTTCAATGAACCCTTAAGACACCGCCCAAGGGCTCCAAGTATGCAAAATGGTAGCTACTTTGGGGCCTAAAGTCTATAAATAGGACCTACTTTGGGCTATTTGGAGCCCCAGGGTTTGTTTTTGTGATCCTAAATCCCTAAACCCTAAACCCTAAATCCCCAAATAAACCCTAAAACCCTAAAACCCTGACCATTTGGAGCCCCAGGGCCGGTTCAACACGGTCCTCTAACGCAACGCTTTACTGGAATCCTGGGAGCTTCAAGAGAGGAGTCTAAATTAGGGTCCCCTTTTAGGGGTTCCTTCAAGGGATCTATAGGGGGGGTTTCTATAGGGTTTTTGGTAAGGGAATTAGAAGGGTAGTTCCCGAAATTAGGGTCGCTTTTAGGCTCAGTTTTTTTGTTAAAGGGTGCCGTACTCTATTGGGGGACCTAAAACAGGCGACCCTACTTTAGAGAACTACCCCTCTTAATGATTGGAATGAGAGTCCTTTGGGGCTCCTGTCGTACAATGTCCCTAAACCCTAAACCCTACACCCCTAAACCCTAAACCCCAAGACCTTGTTCTGATAAGTCAGGCCTCTATAGTTTAATGCAGAACCCCTGAAAGGAACACTTTAAAACCCCATCCACGCTGCTCAAACCATTTGTTAAATTGCTGCCGCTGCCTAATAATATGAATGGGTTTCGGTAGGCGCCTTGTACGAGGCTGAAGTAATAAGAGTATCCCCAAAAGCCCTGTTCTAATTGTTCAGAACCCGCCCTGTTGAACCCTAAACCCTAAACCCGCCCACCGACAAGTGCCGCAGTGATCGCCAGCACGCCGAGTAGGCCCCAGGTTGCCAGAGCGAGCTGTGTGTTCCTCGATGGCTTCATTTTGTTAAGAATTCTGCTTATGCTTTTGTTACGATGAGGAGCCCCCGAAAATAGTCTAGGGTTTAGGGTTTAGGGTTTTGTGTTTAGGGTTTAGGGCCCAAAAATGTATAGGTAATGATTATAAGGTGTCTAGAGTGTGGGGTCTAGGACGTATAGGGTCATAGGTCTCCCCACAGGCTCCATAGTAGTTCGGAACTACTAGGATCCTATGCAAGGTAATCCCAAGAAGGAACTACTATGGAGCCTATGGGTCCCCCTAAACCCTAAACCGTCTCAGTTGTAGTCTTATAGTGTGGAAGGTCCTACCTCGATCCTGCATCCAGGAACCTCGGCAGCCAGAGTCTTCGGTTTAGGGTTTAGGGTTTAGGGTTTAGGGGTTTAGGGTTTAGGGTTTAGGGTACCTGCAGCCTCCAGTTCACCCACCGTGTGACATTTTAACTCCTTGAAATGTTTCTGGTGGGTTCTAACAACCAAAGTTTAGAACCAGAAACAGGTGCCTGAAGAGCCTCGGTAGCTAGACTCACGTTTTGGTGTGTAGGGCACTGTCAAGACAAAGGCGGCTAGTTGTTTGGACCTCAAGCTTAGAACTGTCGCCCTTGAGAGCCAAAACACTGGCACATCTGTCAATCCCAAAACCTAAAATCCGTATTGGGCCTTCTTAGACCTTCTTCTTTCGTTGAATTTTCGTTGAATCCTAGACATCTCATCTCGAGACATGCGCCCGAAACCCTCGCCGCTAGCCGCTGACTACCAAGCCCTTCCTGGGTTCGAAACTCGCGATCCTGAACCCTAGAGCCCTAAGTTGTAAGCGGTTTAACAGGAGCCCAATAAGCGCGTAGTAATGGCTGCACCTACTCCACTTGCAAGGTTTTAACAAGGGGCTTGGTATGGGCGTCCGATTTATAACACGCTGACTCCTCAATCCCAACCCCACCAGCCTTGTCTGAGCTCTTGACGCTCAACCCAAACCCCAAAATCCAAACATCCCTAACCTGAAGCCTAAACCCTAAACCCCGAAGCCTATACTATACCTGGGTATCCAATAACCTACCGTTTTAAGCGGTGGACCCTATAATTCCGTGGTCATAACCTTACAATTTCGTGGGGTTTGGGGATGGACCTCTGAATCCTAAACCCTAAACCCCGAACCCCTTACTCTAAACCCTCAACCCCGAACCCCTTACTCTAAACCCCAAAGCCTGAACGCTGCATGCCGCCCTAACCCTAAACCCTAAACCGTGCAAGGCGGCGTGCTGATCTTAATGCCTCGGTAGGAGAACTCGACCTCGGCCGGCTTTTGTATTTTGTATGTTTTTTTGGGTTTGGGGCTTGGCTTTGGGCTTACGGGTTTAGGGCTTTGGGGTCTCTAGGGTTTAGGGTTTGGGCTGTCGAGTTTTGTGCGAGATTTGCAGCGCTTAGGGGCCGGGGTTCAAAGTTTCTTGGGTCTGCGTTGCGGGCAGGGGTCTTCGTTGCAGGGGGCCGGGGTTTTGCGAAGGCTTTCAGGTAATGTAGGGGCCTTAATAATTCGAACAGGGTTTTGGGGATTCCTTAGTATAATTATAGTGTAATATACCCCAAACCCTATTCTAATTATTAAGGCCCCTATAGTAGACGCACCAACATTCCCAATTTGAGTTTCAGGTATAGCCCTAAAAATTACACTTGACCCCTGATCCCCCATCAACCCCAATGTGGCGACCAGCCACGCGCCTGCAGCACAGGCCTATCGACCCTCCATCCTCGATGGCCCCAAATCTCATCTAGAGTCTTGATGCCCAAAAACATCGAAACCTGGAATCCACAAAGCCCAGGCGCGGTAAATTGCCTTAACAGTTGATGGAGGGGGCCATTAAAAAAACGAGGGTTCGGGGCTTAGTTCTGGGTCACAATGTAGTATGACGATGCAGGAATTCGAAGACCCACTTATTCCGACCCGTAAACTAAAAGCCCTTAGAAGTTATAAGCCCGTACTCCTGACTCCGAAGAATCTCCGGAAGTGCAGCCCCGGTGACCACCGAGGAAGCATTTGCAACGAGGCAAATGCAGAAGAAGGCGTGGATGCCAAGGATGATCAGCATCCTTATCTCGGAAATCAGGATGTACTCTAAACCCTAAACCCCCAAAACCCCTAAACCCCTAAACCCTGGGTTTCCCGGGGTCTTGGGGGACGAGCGCCCGTTTGAGGTTTAGGACATCAGGATCAGGCAGGGATTAGGAATGCTGATGTTTTGGGATGGCCGGCCGACTTAGTGCGGGACATGTGGAACCCAAGGGCTCCAAGTATGCAAATGGTACCTACTTTGGGGCCTAAAGTCTATAAATAGGACCTACTTTGGGCTATTTGGAGCCCCAGGGGAAGGAATAGCATTTGCACACTAGCCTTCGCCAAGAAGTTGGACTGCACGAACCTTTTTTGCTGCAGCTTCCAGCGTGCCTTTGATGCTTCTGATCTACATTTAGCGAAGGCTCTGAGAAGGCCTTCCGAAGCTGGTCATTGTGTCGAAGGTTGTGGCAGGAAATGCTTTGGTATCTTCGATACATGAAAGAATAATAAGCTTTAGACGTTATAGGACTGCAGGGAGCATATACCAGAGTTTTCTGCTGTGGACTTACTCGAAATCAAGTCGCTACTTCACAGGGCTGCGGAAGTGGCTGCACTCATAAATGGAACAGAGGGATCTTTGCCCGCGGCAGCTCGCGTGTCCGTATCAAACGGAACAGCGGCGCATACCCCAAATAACGCGAAGGCTGCGGAACCTGTTGCTTCTCGTTTTCCCTGGGGCTCCAAATAGCCCAAAGTAGGTCCTATTTATAGACTTTAGGCCCCAAAGTAGGTACCATTTGCATACTTGGAACCCTTGGGTTTGTGTAGGGAGACACTTAGCGTTGAAGGTATCGGGCATGTCCTTGTTATTCCTAACACCTGAATAAGACCTCGTTAATCAAACTGAAGCCTGAACGAGAGAGTGGGTTAATGTAGGCACAAGGCATTCAGGGGCCGCCTGTCTTCCGAGAGCTAAGATTAAGGGCAGCACTACAGTCTACATTGTCTACATTAGGGTCAGCCTAGTATGAGTTATAGAACATATCTTTACACATATTTGTATGTATAGATACATATATACACACAATATGCATACGTACATACAACGTACATACATACATACATACATACATACATACGTACATATATACATACGTACATATATACATACGTACATACATACATACATACATACATACGTACACATGACCCATGGCGGCGAGTTTTGCGAGCCTTTCTATGAGTACTACTAACGTCAAACAACTCTTATGGGGCGACTTGCTCATGCCGGAATCTTGGAGTATGATGGTAGTCCTCAAACTTAGGGTCCCGCTCGGCTGTCGGGCTACTCGTTCGTTCGTGGTACGACCAAGTGGGACCCCGGTACTGACAACTACCCCATGTGCGTTGCAGTTGCGAATTCTGCCCTCAGGGTCGCTCCGAGGGGCCTTCATATAGGGGCCTTAATAATTAGAGTAGGGTTTGGGGTATATTATGCTATAACTATAATAAGGAACCCCCCAAAACCCTGTTCNNTCTAATTATTAAGGCCCCAACATTACACTTGGAGCATGGCCGCCCTGGCCTGGAGTTGTAAAACCTCTTGGTTGGCGTTCGCCTGCGGTGCCGGAACCATGGCCATTGCAAAGAACAGACCAAGCAAGGGAGTCGCAACCACGGTTGCCGGCCAGAGAATGTCCAACGGAGTCATGTAGATTCCCCCTGAGGATCGACCTGAAACAGCGTCCATCACTGCTACAAGAAGGCCCAAGGGTGGGATCACTACAAAGGCTGCCAGCACCGGTCCGGTGGCTGTCTGACTCATCACCGCTCCCATGGCTCCTATCATCATGAGCTTCGTGCTCCAAATGCATATGCCGGCAGAAAAGAGGATGAATGACACAATCCGCACGAAGCATTTCTTGGAGACCATGGCTCCAGCTTTGCCCTCGCTATCTGCGCGGCTTGGGTCAACTAAGGGAACCTTGAAACGCCGACACGCACTCGCAAAGATGCCAAACTCCAGCTCGTAAGCCATAGGCCTGGAAATCCAAACCTCGGACACTTAAACCAACGCAAAATCCTTATCAACAGTCAGATAGAAGCATTGCACGCACTCAGCCCTGACGATGCCCTGTCTCCTGAGACCCGTGATCTTGTGAAGGGCTCAGGACGCTAAACCCGAAACAGTCGACGAATCCAAGTCGTCCACAGACTCTTGAAAAACAACAGATCCTGAAATGCACTTCCACATCCGCCTCTGAGAGCAATCCTTGCACCTGAACACCTCTAGAGTACATAATATGGTGAGGTGCATCTGCTCTTCACTTGCCGGAAACCCAGATCTCGAATCCGTGAACTTCCGATCCGAATTCCACTCACGGTTCGCGGAACTGTGTATAAGACAAAGACAAGAGGCACGGTCTCGAAGGAGAAGTAGCCCAAGAA